GGAGCTGTCAGCGAGTGAGGTCTTTCTCCAAACTCCCCATGAACCGAACAGCCCAGCAGCTGGATCTTCACCCTCTTCGGGGGAAGGAGACAAAACTTTGTCCCTCGTTGTGGGTTCACCGGTACAACAGATTGCTGTTTGGCATCAGGGCAGCACCAGAGATTTTCCCGACACACAGATTGTATTCAGTGATACAAAGGACCCCAAAAACTGCCAGTATCTCGCAGGCAGCCATTATTCCTGGCATATATAGCGAGGAACGTGGCGAGAGGCCGGGATTCGTAGAGACTCAATTGCAGTAAGCTGGACGTACAGTCAACGGAGACAGATTACTTGCTGGGTGTGACAGAGCTAATGCCTGAACTCCCGAGCAGTGAAATCAACCCAGCCATAAAGACCGTACAAAATTATATTGGACCAGGACGTAACAAACTTACCAGAAATTTGTCAGCACAAACATTGATTGGCTTGGTGAATTGGGGTTTGTCCAATTTGTTCAGAAACTTGCTGCCTCTGTCTTTGTAAATGTGCACATGTGTGATGGCAGAAAATGATGGGCTTTTGTTTTTCATCTGATAAGACAAGGAGGTCACTGTGGGTCGGGTTAGCACTGCTGCCTCACGGCACCAGGGACCCGGGTTCAAACCCACCCTCGGGCGACTGTCTGTGAGGAGTTTGCATATTCTCCCTCCGTGTCTGCGTGGGTTCCCTCCGGATGCTCCAGTTTCCTCCCACAGTCCAAAGAAGTGCAGGTTAGGATGGATTGGGCAGGCTAAATTGTCGCATGGTGTTCAGGGATGTGCAGTTTAGGTGGATTAGCCATGGGGAACGCAGAGTTACAGGGATAGGGTAGGGGTGTGGGACTGGGTGGTGTGTTCTTCAGAGGATCAGTGTGGACTCGATGGGCCAAATGGCCTGCTTCCATACGCTAGGGACTGTACGATTCTATGTGGCTGCGAGGGAATCAGGGCTGGGAATGAAATATCTAAGGATACACATCCTGTCAAAATGCAGGTGGGCAGAGAGGGCAAGTTTGTTAGTAAGAACTTAAATGAAATCGATAGCAAGAAGTGATATAGAGTCAGAAGACGTAGAATTGAGAAAGGGAAAAACACCCTGATGGGAGGTTATGTACAGGCCTCCTAGCTGTAGTCAGGATGTGGGAAGAAAATAAATCAGGAGATAGAAAAGGCATATTAAGAATGGCACTATTACAATAATCGATGTGCAGATAGACTGGGAAAATCAGAAAGGTTGGTAGCCGATCTCGAGAGAAGGATCTCTTAGAGTGGGTTTTTGGAGCAGCTTGTGGTAGAGCGAGTAGGCAGTTCTGGATTGGGTGATGTGTAGCGAGGCACACTTGACGAAGCTGTGCTGAATGACCCCCTCGGCGACAGTGACCACCATACGATAGAATCCAGCCTGCAGTTTGGGAGGGAGAAGCTGCGATCAGATGTAACGGTATCACAATCGAGTGAAGGGAGGAGCTGGCCAGAGTTGATTGGAAGGGGGAGCCGAGCAGGGGAGACAGTGGAGCAGGAACGGGAGGAATTTCTGGGGATAATTTGGGAGGCACATCAGAAATTCATCCCAAGGAAGAAGCAACATACTAAGAGGGTGGATGAAGCAACCATGGCTGACAAGGGAAGTCAGGGACAGCGTAGAAGCAAAAGAAAAAGCATATAATGAAGTAAAGATTAATGGGAAGCCAGAGGATTGTCACTGGATTGTTAATCCAGAGACTCAGGTAATGTTCTGGGGACCTGGGTTCAAATCCCACCATGGCAGATGCTGGAATTTGAATTCAATAAAAATATCTGGAATTAAGAGTCTAATGATGACCATGAATCCATTGCCGATTGTCAGGGGAAAAACCCATCTGGTTCGCTAATGTCCTTTGGGGAAGGAAACTGCCATCCTTACCTGGTCTGGGCCTACATGTGACTCCAGACCCACAGTTGACTCTTAACTGCCCTCTGGGCAATTAGAGATGGGCAATAAATGCTGCCTGGCCAGCGATGCCCGCATCCCATGAATGCATAGAGAAAAAAAAAGGATTGGGAAGCCTTAAAAAACCAGCAAATGACAACTTAAAAAAAGATAAAGGGGGAGAAGATGAAATACGAGGGAGGGTAAGTTAGCTAGTAATATAAAAGAAGATTGCAAGAGTTTTTTTTTTAGATCTATAAAAGGTAAGAGGGAGGGAAGAGTGGACATTGGATCACTGGAAATGAGGCTGGATTAGTAGTAACGGGGAACAAAGAAATGGAAGAGGAACTGAGTGGGTACTTTGCTTCAGTTTTCACAGACATCAGTAGCATCCCAGAACTTCAAGAGAGTCAGGGGACAGAGGTGAGTGCAGTGGCCATCACTAAGGAGAAGGTGCTGGGGAAACGGAAGGGTCTGAAGGTGGGTAAGTCACCCAGACCGGATGGATTTCACTCCAGGATTCTGAAGGGAGATAGCCGAGGGGATTGTGGAGGCATTGGTGGTGACCTTTCAGGTATCACTGGAGTCAGGGAGGCTCCTGAAGAACTGGAAAATGGATAATGTAACGCCCCTGTTTAAGAAACGAGGGGGGCAGAAGACAGGATTTAAGATTTTAGAGTCCATTATTAAGGATGAGATTGCAGAGTACTTGAAAGTGCATGGTAAAATAGGGCTGAGTCAGTATGGCTTCATCAAGGGGAGCTTGTGACTGAAAAATCTGTTAGAATTCTATGAAGAGCTAATGAGCAATTTGGGTAAAAGAGAGCCAGTGGACATGACCTATTTGGACTTTCAGAAGGCTTTTGACAAGGTGCCACACAGGAGGCTGCTAAATAAGAGCCTGTGGTGTTAGGGGCAAGGTACTGGGAGGAAAAAGGATTGGCTTACTGGCAGAAAGCACAGGGTGGGTATAAAGGGGTCTCTTTCAGGATGGCAGTCGGTGACAAGTGGAGGTCCACAGGGGTCAGCATTGGGACCACAACTGTTCACGTTATACATTAATGATCTGACGGAAGGAACTGAGGGCATTGTTGCTAAGTTTGCAGATGACACAAAGATAGGTGGAGGGACAGGTAGTGTTGAGGAAGCGAGGAGGCTGCAGAAGGACTTGGACAGGTTAGGAGAGTGGGCAAAAAGTGGCAGATGGAGTACAACGCGGGAAAGCGTGAGGTTGTGCGTTTTGGTAGGAAGAATGGGAAAAGGCTTCGGAAGTCTGAAGCACAAAGAGACTTGGGAGTCCCAGTTCAGGATTCTCCTAGGATACCAGTTGGCAGTTAGGAAGGCAAATTCATTTCAAGAGGGCTAGAGTTAAAAGAGCAGAGATATACAGCCTCAGCAGGACAAGGCTCCGGTCAGAGTGCATTTGGAATATTCTAAGCAGATTTGGGCCCCGTATCTAAGAAAGGATGTGCTGGCATTGGAGGGGGCCCAGAGAAGGCTCACAAGAACGATCCCGGGGATGAATGGTAAAAAGTTGCAGCATGCTGCTATGCAGAGGGACCTGGGTATCCTTGTGCATGAATCACAGAAGGTAGGTCTGCAGGTACAACAAGTAATTAGGAAGGCAAATGGAATTTTGTCCTTCATTGCTAAAGGGATTGAGATTAAAAGCAGAGAGGTTATGTTGCAGCTGTACAAGCTGCTGGTGAGGCCACACCTGGAGTACTGTGTGCAGTTTTGGTCTCCTTACTTGAGAAAGGATGTATTGGCACTGGAGAGGATGCAAAGGAGGTTCACTAGGTTGATTCCGGAGCTGAGGGGGTTGGCTTATGAGGAAAGAGTGAGTAGGTTGGGATTATATTCATTGGAATTCAGAAGATTGAGGGGGGATCTTATAGAAACATATAAAATTATGAAGGGAATAGATAAGATAGAAGTAGAGAGGATGTTTCCACTGGCAGGTGAAGCGAGGACAAGAGGGCATAGCCTCAAGATTAGAGGGAGCAGATTTAGGACTGAACTGAGAAGGAATTTCTTCACCCAGAGGGTTGTTAATCTATGGAATTCCTTGCCCAGTGAAGTAGTTGATGCTACTTCAGTAAATGTTTTTTTAAAAAAAGTAGATTTTTTTTTAACAATAAAGGAATTAAGGGATACGGTGAGAACGCAGGTAAGTGGATCTGAGTCCACGAAAGGATCAGCCATGATCTTATTGAATGGCGGAGCAGGCTCGAAGGGCCAGACGGCCTACTCCTGCTCCTAGTTCTTATGTTCTTATGAAGAAATTGTCACTTGAGAAGCGGCTGAGGACTTTGTGTCTGTACTCGGTGGAGTTTAGAAGGATGGGGGGTGGGATCACTTGAAATTTGCAGAATACTGAAAGGCCTGGATACAGTGAAAGTGGAGAAGGTATTTCCACTCGTAGGACCTGAGGGCACAGCCTCAGAGTGAAGGGACGACCCTTTAGAACGAGAAGAGGAGGAATTTCTTCAGCCAGAGCAAGGGTGAATCTGTGGAACTCATTGCCGCAGAGGGCTGTGGAGGCCAGGTCACTGAGATAGATCGGTTCTTGATTGTTAAAGGGATCAAGGGTTACAGGGAGAAGGCAGGAGAATGGGGCTGTGAAGCATATTAGCCATGATAGACTGGCAGAGCAGACTCAGTAGGCCGAATGGCCTAATTCTGCTTCTATATATTATGGTCTCAATAACAAACTGGGCTGCACAGAGAAAGGGCAGAGTGCATATGGAAATGCAGGAAGAACCAGCTTCCATTCAAGTTTGTACATCTTTGGCCCAGTTAAATCTCTGATGCCAAGTGTGTTCCCTCATCCTGTCCCATAATCTTTCTCCTAAACTGTGTTCCCAGTATCACATCCATCCCTGTGTTCTCCCTGAAAGCTGTGGCTGTGACTGTCACATGGTAGAAGGGGGGGATGGTGCTTGCTAATGGCAGGAGCTCACATGTGGAGTCTTTTAACATCAGTGGGGGAAAGGTGTGGCTGCATGGAGACACGGCCGCTACCACATTGAGGTTCTCACTGTTCTGGAAACCTTCCTGCTGTTAATGTGCCCGAGGCATAGCAGAAGGATTGAGAATCGAGCTTTTTGACCGCATTTTTATCTACCTTCAGAATTCCTGACAGGGAAATTGAACTCTGAACTTCTGACCAAAAGTAGGGGTGTTCCCACATCATCACAAGACCTCCCAGTTTCCCAAAAAAATTGTTCAAAAAAGGCTCACCTTCCAGACTCCTCTTGGTGGTTCCTCTGTGTGCTGTCAATGCCCACTTACTGGGGGAAGTTGGTTATTTTCTTCATGCTTGTTTCACCTTTTTAATGTTGTTTGGTTGACAGTGGACAGTGAGAGGATGAGGGGTAACTGGGTCTTCACATCGCTTCCCCAAACACCGCATCTCTGAATCTAAAGGACACGGATTCAAGTTCACAAACTCTGGAATTCACTGCCTGAATCTCTCCATCTTTGCCACCATTACAAATTTGCTCAAAACTTCCGTTTTTTGATGTCATCGACATTTAGGGTTGGACAGACTTTGTCCCAAGCAAAAGTGATTAATTTGTCATTTCCACACCATGTTAAATTTAAATTATGAGGAAGGGCCACTCGACCCAAAACGATAACTCTGATTTCTCTCCACAGATGCTGCCAGACCTGCTGAGCTTTTCCAGCATTCTCTGTTTTGGTGTTAAGCTCCATCCCTGTTACAAGGATGATTAACATCAGAAATAAAGCACGGTTGTCAGAATGATCAAGATTCAGTGCTGGATGTCATTAACAGCGGTAATGTCATCAGAGCCCAACGCCTGGAGTCAAATGTGAACCTACTTGTCCGTCAGGAAATGGGATGAATGAGTGAATCCCTTTGCGCACCCAGAACATTTAAACTGCTGCTCCCTGACACGGGCTTGTTGGCAGGTTGGAATTCCTTCCCAGACATGGAGCATTTAAATGATCTTTCTCCAATCTGAAGCCACGTTTGCTGATGGAGTGAATTTCTTCGTACAGGTCTGGATTCGCACATGAATAGGAAGGGTTGAGAGGGATATGGACCAAATGCTGGCACATGGGACTGGATCGGTTTAGGATTTGTTTCCATGCTGTACACCTCTGAGATACAGAGCAAGTCACAGAGATGTACAGCATGGAAACAGACCTTTTGTATGTCCCCTCCCTGGTCTGAGCTCGCTGGGTCATTGAGCTCAATGAAAGAATGGACCCTTCTCACAGAGTGAGTAGATATCAGGACTCTTGTTGGGTGTGGACACACAGGTATCAAAGCAGGATAGAGGCATATCTGAACCTCTTCCCCATAGGCAATCAAAGGCCTCCGTACAGGATGACCTGACTGGTGCCGGAACAGGACAGATGAGCTATTGAATCCCTTCCCACATCAGGTGCAGGTGAACAGCATCTACGCAGTGTGGCCATGTGGTCGTTTCCTCAGAATCCGTCCTCCTGCTATGTTCATACAGCTCATTTCCAGTCTGGTTATAGTTGTCTATCACCAGGTTGCGTGATCAGTTGAAGCCCCTTATTGATATTTCCTAGAACGGACAAACCACAACACATTCAAAAGTCCAATGATGTACAGGTGCTGATGAAGTAAGACTGTGAGATCATGAAATGATGTTTACTGTATAGTCATTCCTCCTGTAATGGGAGGTAATGAAACACATCTCTGTAAATAAAGGATAGAAATCTAGATCCCCCCATTCCAGGTGTCTAAACTTGTACTGAAAAAAAAACTCACTTTCACTTGGAAGCCCTAACTCTTTTTTTACCCTTCCTCCGGAGATGATGCCACACTTCTTATTGTTAGGACTTAACTGGGGGGTATTTTTTTTTAAGGTGAGAGGAGAAAGATTTCAAAGGGACCTGAGAGGCAACTTTAACACAGAGAGAGTGAACTGCCAGAGGAGGTGGTGGATGCAGGTACAGTTGTAACATTTAAAAGACGTTTGGACAGGTACATGAATAGGGAAGGTTTACAGGGTTATGGGTCAAACGCAGGCAAGTGGGACAACTGACATTTCGGGTCTAGACCCGAAACATCAGCTTTCCTGCTCCTCTGATGCTGCTTGGCCTGCTGTGTTCATCCAGCTCTGCACCTTGTTATCTCAGATTCTCCAACATCGGCAGTTCCTACTATCTTGGCAAGTGGGACTAATTCGATTTGGGAAACTTGGTCAGCAAGGGCGAGTTGGACTGAAGGGTCTGTTTCCATGTTGAATGACTCTATGACTTCATGCCTGAAGGCAACAAATTGTTTTGCTAAGGGGATGTTGGCACAGTGGTTAGCACCGCTGCCTTCGCAGCACCAGGGACCTGGATTCGATTCCAGCCTTTGGGAGTTTGCATGCTTCCCCACCCCCCCACCCCCCATTCCGTGTCTGCGTGGGTTTCCTCTGGGTACTCCGGTTCCCTCCCACAGTCCAAAGATGTGCAGGTTAAATGGATTGGCCATGTTAAAAATTGCCCCCCTAGTGTCTGGGGTTGTGCAGGTTAGGTGGGTTAGCCATGGTTAAAAACCCCATGAGGGGTTACGGAATTGGGTGGGATTTTATGATTTTATTCTATCAGTCGCTATCTCTTGGGGGATCACTTGTACTTGCCTCTCAGCATCCACAGGATCAATGCACAGGCTGCATAAAGGCGGAGGATTAGGCCTACAACTCCCACAAGGCACAGCGCGCGGGAAACCGCTCCATCGCCGTGTGACGCCGAACTGCGCGTGTGCAGGGGACTTCTTTCCCCCCTACGGCTGCACCTCATGCCGGATCGACCAATGGGGAGTCTTGGAGGACCGGAAGGAGTCTGGTCCTCCTGCCAATCAGAGCTTCCCCATTGTCTGAATGTGGAAGTTGGACAATGAGCTCCTGAAGCTGCCCCATTGCTGCTCAGCAAAGCTCCTGCTGCTCCTCCTCTCTCTCTGAATGAAGATGGAGCTTCACCCCCAGACTGCAACTTCCTCCTCTGTCCATTATCTGTGAGCACAGCACCCTCTTTTCTCATTCTGGGGTTTAAGTGTTGTATTGCAGCAAGTGGAGGGAAAGGGAGTGAATCCACAGTGGGGGCAGACTCTGGAAAGTTTGATCCAGGTCTCATTCTCTCTTTTAAGATATTGACATCCTTTGTTCCCTCAGCTTAACACATCTGGCTCAAAGGACGGCCTCTTCCTTTAAGTTCGCAATTAAAGGGGCGGATTTCTAGGAGATGGCCGGCATTTAAAGGGACAGCAAATTGACATCAGACAGAGATATACAGTGTGTTCTTTTATGCCACATTTTAAATGTATTATTTATATTTCTGCTAGAAGATACATTTGTTATTGCTTGCCATGTAAAATTGTACTGTAGCTAGGTTACGTATTTCCCAATGGTATAGGACCGAATGAGTCCATTTGGTAATTCTTTGCCAGCTCTCTGGGAGTAATCTAGTTAGTCCCAAACCCCCTTTCTATGTCCCTGAAGCCTTGCAAATTTGTTTCCATAATGTACCATCAGTTTCATTTGAAAATTATTTATCTCTTCCACTTCTTGCGATGACGTTTATAAACTCCTTTTACAGGATTCTTGAAGGGGAGGATTTGGCCACCCAAATCTCGAAACAAAACTTCATGTCAAGATCTGACAGAGTCACTCGATTAACTGGATGTGAATGTCATCAGCCTCTGAATACAGAAGGTGAACTATTTGTCTCTTCTGTCTGCTTCCAGAGGTTTTAAACATCAGCCTGACCGAATAGCACTGGGACTGTGACACCTGAGCGAGAGTGTTCCAGTGAACTGACTGTAGATAGAGTTTTAACGTGTTACAAATAAACTGAAAAAAAATTTCATCGTTCGCAGCAGGGAGAGACGGTACATGTGCTCTATGTATTAACAAGGTTTCAATTGATCTTCAATCTGGAGAAGCACAAGGATACAAGGACCATGGAGAATCGGTGGAAATGTGGGGACTGTGGGAAGGGATTCCGTGTCCCGTCTGCCCTGGAAATGCATCGACGGGTTCACACCGGGGCGAGGCTGTTCACCTGCCCTGTCTGCGGGAAGGGATTCACTCACTTACGCCACGTGGTAACACACCAGCAAGTTCACATTGGGGCAGAGCCAATTACCTGCCCCACGTGTGGGAAAACTTTCCCTCAACTGTCCACCCTGGAGCAGCACCAGCAGATTCACACCGGGAAGAGGCCGTTCCCCTGCTCCGAGTGTGACAAAGGATTCAGCTCATCATCCGCCCAGTGTAACCACCAGACAGCTCACACCAGAGAGAGGCGGTTCACCTGCTCCGTGTGTGGGAAGGTATTCAGTCGTTCGAACAGCCTGCTAACCCACCAGCTCGTCCACACTGGCGAATGGCCCTTCACTTGCTTTGTGTGCGGGAAGGGCTTCACTCGCTCGTCCCATTTGCTGACGCACCAGTGTGTTCACACCGGGGAGAGGCCGTTCACCTGCTCCGAGTGCGGGAAGGGCTTCATTCGTTCGTCCCATTTGCTGACCCACCGACACATTCACACGGGGGAGAGGCCGTTCACCTGCTCCGTGTGTGGGAGAGGGTTCACTCAGTCGTCCCCCCTGCAGCGACACCAGCGGGTCCACACCGGCGAGAATCCGTTCACCTGCTCCTTGTGCGGGAAGCGATTCACTCAGTCGTCGAACTTGCTGCGGCACCAACACGTTCACACTGGGGTGAGGCCGTTCCCCTGCCCCGTGTGCGGAAGGGGATTCACTCGGTTAATCCACCTCCAGAAACACAGCCGAGTTCACAGAGAGGAGGAAGGCAGTTCCTCACCTCCAATGAGTGCAGAAAAGGATTCTCTGAATCGCCAAACCTGCACAGAGAGAGCGAGAGAGGGTGCTCACCTCTTGTGATGTAAGGTGCGTTATTTCTCTCTGTTTTAATATCATTCATTTTTGCATTTGGAGTTTGAACTAGTGGCATGTGGGTTTTCCCTGTGTCTGAAGAATTTCAAGGATTAACTTGCAAGTATTTCTGTAGCAATGGTGACATCTTTTAATACACAACCTGAGAGAAATGTAATTCCTGGTGTTTAATAGAATTTTGTTCCATTGGGAGAGTTTTATAATTAAATAATGTAAACAGTTATGTATTAGGCTTTCTGTTTAGAAGGTCATATCTGTTTTTTTTTAATTTGAACAAGAGAAACACCCATAGCTTACTAAACGCTTTTGGGTTTCAGTTTGGCAGTTTTGTCAAAGTCTTAGCTGAGCTGTATGTGTTGCTTCAGAGAAAGGGAGACAATTTTGAACTGTTACAAAATATATGACCTCAGCGTGAGAAGTTTCCTTGGAAAGCTTCAGACCAGATGTTTGTGGGGCAAAACGCTGTAAAAGGGTTATGTGAACTTGAGAAAATCTAAGCTGTAAAATCAGACTCTCAATGCCACTGACTCTCGAACTCTTCCATCCCAATATGTGATAGAGAAGAGAAATCTTTCTAATATTTGAGTACTGTAATGGGAAGCTGTTGGGATGAATTAGATTACATTTTGCCCCGTGCTGTGAAATCTTTAAACATGGAATGAACTTCCAGAGGAAGTGATGGATGTGGGTACAGTTACAACACTTAAAAGACATTTGGATAAGTACATGAATAGGAAAGGTTTGGAGGGATATGGGCCAGGAGCAGGCACGTGGGACTAGTTTAGTTTGGGATTATGTTTGGCATGGACTGGTTGGACCAAGGAGTCTTTTTCCACGCCGAATGACTCTCTGACTGTATGTGACTTGTAAATAGTTTGGTTTAGTTTGTTGTATCTTCATTTCTTTCGTGTGACAAACTTCTGTTTCATTGTTCAAAACAAATCGGCAACATTATGTGTTTGTGTTTCCTCATAACAGAAAGATCACCTCATGGACCTGCATTAAATAAAGATCTATCAAGCCAGACTTCAGTCTTGGCTTCTACCTTGTCCAGAAATAACATCATCTGGGATCATAACACTATTTAGAGTGCGGACAAGTTTCAATTTGTCATTCAACTTGCTGAGACACTGTGGCAGTTATACTGGGTATAATATTTACTGGGTGTGCATTGTACCAGCTGACGTGGATGATATTGTTAAGCCAAGGGATGAATTCACTGGTCATTGCACCCCACTGTCACACAAGCTGTCCCAAAATGTACCAATGTCTGAAAACCACAATTCAACTTTGAAATTTGTCTGATGGACTGCCACTCAGAATCAAATCAATTGTAGTCCATGTCCAAATGCAACATGTTCTGGGTAATATCCAAGCTTGTGGCAAGTGGCAAGTAACATTTGTGCCACACAAATGCCAGGCTATGACCATCTCCAATAAAAGACAAACTAACCACCGCTCCTTGACATTCAATGGTCTTACCATCACTGAACTCCCCCCTTATCAACATCCTGGGAGTTATCATTGATTGGAAATTCAACTGGGAGCACCACAAAGTGGCTACAAGAGCAGATCAGAAGCTAGGAATCTTGCAGCGAGTAACTCACGCCCTAGCTCCCAAAGACCTGTCCCACCATTGATAAGGCACAAGTAAGGAGCGTGATGGATTACTCCCCGTTTGCCCTGGATGGGGGCAGCCCCAACAACACTCAAGAAGCTCCACACCATCCAGGGACTAAGCAGCCCCCTGCTCGATTGGCACCACGTCCACAAACAGCCACTCACCGACGCTCAGTAGCAGCAGTGTGTACCATCTACGCGATACACTGCAGAGACTCACTGAGGCTCCTTAGATAGCACCTTCCAAACTCACTCCCTGTGCCATTTAGAAGAACAAGGTGGGGGAGCGGGGGCAGCAGATACACGGGAACACCAGCCCCCTGCAAGTTCTCCCTCCGAGCCCACTCAGCATCCCGACTTGGAAATGTATCGGCCGTTCCTTCACTGTCGCTGGGTTAGAATCCTGGAATTCCCTCCCTAGAGGACATTGTGGGTCAACCCACAGCAAGTGGGCAGCTGAGGCCCAAGGAGGCAGTTCACCCCCACCTTCTCGAGGGCAACTAAGGATGGGCAAGAAAAGCTGGCCAGCCAGCGACACCCACAGCCCTGAAATATAAATGAAATTCACACCAGGTTTCATAAGTAATAGGAAAATAGCTCTTCTTATTGTAACACGCAACTTTAACAAAAATCAGAATAAAGAAGAGATTTTAAATCCACTTGTTCTCGTCCAAAAACCTGAAGTACACACAAATTCGTTCACAATTAGGACAGACAGAAGGCAAACGATTTGACAGAATGACCACAGGTGGAAAAGTAACATCAATCCTATAAACAAAACTCCAAAGATCACGTGTCGAGATTTCAGGGTGGGGATAATTGTCTCACTTTTGGTTTTAGCAGTGGTGATAAGCTGCAATGATTGGGCAGGCAATGGCCTAATGGTATTATCGCTGGACTGTTAATCCAGAGACCCAGATCATGTTCTGGGGTCCTGGGTTCAAGTCCCACTGCGGCAGATGCTGGAATTTGAATTCAATAAAGATATCTGGGAATTAAGAGTCTAATGATGGCTGTGAATCCATTGTCAATTGTCAGGAAAAACCTATCTGGTTCACTAATGTCCTTTAGGGAAGGAATCTAGCCATCTTCACCTGGTCTGGCCTACATGTGACTCCAGACCCACAGCAATGTGGTTGACACGGAATTGCCCTCTGGGCAATTAGGGATGGGTAATAAATGCCATCTAGCCAGTGATGCCCTCATCCCTTGAATGAATAAAGGGGATAAAAAAAGATGGACCTAAGTGTATTTTTTAATTGTTTCTTTGAAGATTTCTTGGGTTTTCTGTCCTTTTCTCCCCAGACAGACAGAGAGACATAGAGAGAGAGAGAGAGAGCAAGACAGTGGGAGAGATGGATACTTTCTGTCTGCAGCCTCTGGAGGATTTTCCTCTCAGCTGCCCTGGCACTTGCAGCTTTGAACACTCCGCAGCTCAGCCAATCAGAGGAGTGTCATCAGGCAGAATTTCCTTAACTCAAAAGACTCTCCCATCTCTGCTTCAAAAAAGCAACATGGTATTGCACAGCTCAAAAATATGCAGCGTTTTATTTAGATAAATGTGAGGTGCTGCATTTTGGAAAGGCAAATAGGGCAAGACTTGTACACTTAATGGTAAGGTCCTGGGGAATGTTGCTGAGCAAAGAGACCTTGGAGTGTAGGTACATAGTTCCTTGAAAGTGGAGTCGCAGGTAGACAGGGCGGTGTTTGGTACGCTTGCCTTTATTGGTCAATGTATTGAGTATAGCAGTGAAGAAGGTGTTTGGTACGCATGCCTTTATTGGTCAATGTATTGAGTATAGCAGTTGGGAGGTCATGTTGCAACTGTATAGGACATTAGTGAGGCTGCTTTTGGAATACTGCATTCAATTCTGGTCTCCCTGCTGTGGAAAGGATGTTGTGAAATGAGAAAGGGTTCAGAAAAGAATTACAAGGATGTTGCCAGTGTTGGAGGGTTTGAGCTATAGGCTAAATAGGCTGGGGCTATTTTCCCAGGAGCTTATAGAGGTTTATAAAATCATGAGGGACATGGGTAGGGTGAATAGCCAAGGTCTTTTTCCCAGAGTCGGGGAGGCCAAAACTAGAGGGGCATAGGTTTAAGGTGAGAGGGGAAAGATTTAAAAGGGATCTAAGGGGCAGCTTTTTCACACAGAGGGTGGTGCGTGTATGGAATGAGCTGCCAGAGGACGTGGTAGAGGCTGGTACAATTATGACATTTAAAATGCTCTCTCCTGCCTGCTCCTGGCCAATATCCCTCCAAACCTTCCCTATTCATGTACTCATCCAAAAGTCTTTTAAATGCTATAACTGTACCCATATCCACCACTTCCTCAGGAAATTCATTCCACACGCAAACCACACTCTGTGTAGAAAATTTATCCCTTGTATCTTTATTTTAAGTCTCTCTCCTCTCACCTTAAAAATATGCCCCCTAGACTTGAAATCCCCCACCCTAGGGAAAAGACACTTGCCATTAACTCTATCTATATCCCTCCTGATCTTATAAACCTCTGTATGGTCACCCCTCAACCTCCTACGCTCCAGTAAAAAAAGTCTCAGCTTATCCAGCCTTACTTTAAAATCCATAACTTTCATTCCTGGCAACATCCTGTTAAATCTGTTCTGAACCCTTTCTAGCTTAATAATATCCTTCCTATAGCGGGGCAAGTGAACTGGACACAGTACTCCAGAAGAGACCTCACCAATGTCCTGTACAACCTCAATATGATTTCCCAATATCACACTTCTCTGCATTGAATTACAGCTGCCACATCAGTGAATGTTGTGAGGGATTTAAGCATCAAACTGAACACACAGAAAGAGCCATCCTTTCTTCCTTTAATATTTCACCACTATTGAGGATGAACCCCTAAATTTAATTGTACTTACAGCTCAGAGAGCCCAGGAGGAGTCCATTTGGCCCAACATCATCTGCTGCACGTCTAGTTTCATAACTCATATATTTGTGGGGAAGATGTTTAGTTTGGGATTGCAAATCTTTCAAGTGTAGATAAAGGAGAACACTCATTTGACAAACTGGTAAGCACAGATGTGATCTAAATATAAACCAATCAAGCTTGGGTTAATTTGAGTTAAAAGGGAACCTTTATTTATTCTATGTGTTAGCAAGAAGACTGAAATAATGGACAACCCCACTGTGGATTTTATTTTGCATTCAGCAGCGG